CTTCTGTTGTTGTACAACCTGGAGAGGACTACATGTCACAGCAAAGGCAGTGAATACTTACGCAACCAGGAAGTGCCAGTTTACTTTTTTAACTTAACTTCTGAGCCACAATAAAACATTTTACAAGTTCACTGTGCTGAGTATATTCTGTACATCAAATGGTAGCAATGGAAATTAAATCCACTTCTTTTCCACAAGAAACACAACAGAATGTTAAAGTGGGGTGAATACTTCTCCTGTATAACTTGGGCCAGGGTCTCTCAACCCAGGAGCCTCATTCGTTACAAAGTACTGTACTTCATGCTACAAACAACATGCTACTGATTTCCATCTGGACTGAATTTCTCTACTGATTTTTGGGCATAAATTTTGCATCACCACAGCTGCAACATAACTTGATAAAGTTAGGGGTAATTGGCATAATGGCACCTCATTCCAAGTTTCTGATTCCACTCAGTGGTTTGGGATAATCCCAAAGTGAGTGTAGACTGCCCTCTCTTGGAGAAAGTATAGTTTGCAAGGATACAAGTAATGGACAAACTGCCCATTTATCAGTAGACACACATTTTGTCTGAAACAAAAAGCATACGGTTAGACCTAAAATAGAACTTGCAATATGGTGCATTTAAATAATAAAAAAAAACTATTCTCAGAGAATTAGAAAACTCTTACATGAAACTGTTCATGGTAAATTAAAAAAATCCTAGTATCTGAATTAGCAAATAATTTGGCTCTTCCCATTGAAAAAAGAATATTTTACATATTTCACTATATTTAACAAAGCAAGACAGTTCTATCAATGACATATCTCTTTGAAATAGAATAGTGAATGCTGGTACTGTCAAAATGACAATAACAATTTTATCTTTGAAAGCTTTAAAAAAAAGTGGAACTTCCCTGTAAACCAAAAGTTACATTTGTTCATTTTGTCCAGTAGATAGATAGATCGATATATTTATTTATACATGCTCAGCACAGTCATAGGTTCATATGCAAAGCACTGGAAATCTTTTTGCAAATTCTGAATGGTGTTGTAAAGTCTAGAGCTTAAAGTTATTATTTATTGAACAGCAAACACTGATTTTCAAAGGATGTGTCATAAAAGACAAACAAAAACATATATCAGAAATCTGTGTCAGTAAAATATAAATGGATGCAGTGTCTTATATTGTTATTTAAATGTTGATTTGCTTTTGTATAATTCTTTGACAAATATTTAAAACATTAAATACACAGAAAGAAAAAGACACTAATTATATAATTACAGTCTTCCAGAAGCCTCCAGTGGTCAGTCCTAAGGAACATCAAAACATGGGGACCACTTCTCCTTTCATAGCAAATGCAATTAACTTACCAATAGAATGGGGTCCTGGAGTTGTCATTTTGTTTTCAAGCACCTAGGGCTGCCTGAATGAAAATGTCCCAAGTTTTTTCTATGGTGAAAACTTTTGCAAAGTTTCCCTAAGAATATACTGAATGTCTTTGTCAAGAGAACATTTCCTTGCCTGTTTTAAACTAACACCAGGTATTTTGTGTCTAGCTCACCCACCTATAATGGCAGATATTGGGGGAAAAATGCAGATCTCCTATTTTTTGCATACATCTGCCCAATATTCCATCTTGCTGCTTGCAGTCTGTATGCACACAACTTTAGTGTGTGTGTGTGTGTGGGGGGGTGAGTGTTCAGGTGGGATGTGTGTGGCGCTTTAATGATATATTCCACATGTCTGCAGTCAAAATACATACATACACAAATCTAAAAAACAAAACACCACCAACCAACCAACCACACACAAATCCAAAGGAGCTTTCGTTTGTAGGATAATTTCACTCATGATATAGATCCTCTGGAATCAATCCATCATCTAGACCAAAACATTGTTTATTTTTCATTACAATCTTAGAATCATAGAAAAGTTGGAAGGGACCATGAAGGCCATCGAGTCCAACCTCCACTGTTGCAGGACACCACGTTACACCATCCCACTCAGATGGCTGTCCAGGTTCTTTTCAAATGTCTCCAGTGTGGGAGACTTTTCTAGGCAGCTGGTTCCACTGTTGTATTGACCTGACAGTAAGGAAGCTTTTCCTGATGTCCAGCCTGAATCTGGGTTGCCACAACTTCAACTGATTATTCCGTGTCCTACATTCTGGCATTAGCAAGAAGAGATCTTGACCTTCCTCTTTGTGACAGCCTTTGAGGTGCTTATAGAGGGATATCATGTCCCCACTCAGTCTACTCTTCTCAAGGCTGAACATGCCCAGTTCTCGCAGTCTCTCCTCATACTACAGTGTTTCCAAACCCTGGATCATTTTTGTTGCCCTCCACTAGACCCTAATTTACCTACATCTTTCTTAAATTTTGGTGCCCAGAACTGGACACAGTATTCCAGGTGAGGTCTGACTAGTGAGGAGTATAAAGGAACTACTACTTCTCGTGATTTGGAAGTAATATTTTTGTTAATGCATACCAAAATAGCATTTGCCCTTTTGGCGGTGGCATCGCATCGTTGGCTCATGTTTAGCCTATTGTCCACAATTACTCCAAGATCTTTTTCTTGTTCAGTTCTGTTGAGCCCGTATTCCCCATCTTGTACTGATGCCTTTGGTTTCTTTCTCCTAGGTGGAGGACTTGGCACTTGTCCTTACTGAATTTCATTCTGTTGGTTTCAGAAGTTTATCAAGCTCACCCTGGATCATCATTCTATCTTCTAGGGTGTTTGCTATTCTGCCCAGTTTTGTATAATCTGCGAATCTGATTATCTTTCCTGGTACTTCATCTAAATCATTAATAAAGATGTTAAAGAGCACTGGGTCCAGAACTGAACCCTGTGGCACCCCACTAATTACCTACATCCAATTTGAGAAGGTGCCATTGATTAGCACTCTTTGTGACCGATTTATCAGCCAATTTTGGATCCCCCTAATAGTTTTTCCATCTAATCCAGCTTTTGCTAATTTGCTGATCAGAATGTCATGTGGCACTATGCTGAAAGTTTTGCTAAAGTCTAGGAAGATTATGTCAACAGTTTTCCCTTTGTCCATTTGGGAGGTTACCCAGTCAAAAAATGAGATTAAGTTAGTCTGATAGGATTTATTTTTGATAAATCCATGCTGGCTTCTATTAATCACTGTATTTTCTTCAAGATGCTTGCAGACTGATTTTTTAAATAATTTGCTCCCAAATTTTCCCAGATTGATGTCGGACTGAATGGGCTATAGTACCCAGGTTCATCTTTTTTCCCCCTTTTGAGGATAGGAACAACATTAATCCCTTCTCCAGTCATCTGGCACTTTTCCTGTATTCCAAAATTTATTGAGCATAATAGACAGTGGTTCTGAGAGTTCCTCCATTAGCTCTTTTGTAACTCTAGGATGGAGTTCATTGGGCCCTGGAGATTTGAAAGTGTTTATTCCTTCCAGGTTTTCCTTGACCATTTGTCTGTCAGTCTTGAGCTGCCATCTCTTATTTCCAGCTTCAACTTGCTCTTGATTGCAGATTTCCTTGTGTGTGAAGACTGAAGCAAAGTAGGAATTGAGTGTCTCTGCCTTTTGTCATCTCTTATCACTCTGCCACCTACTTTAAATATCTGGACACTCTTCTCTTCATCTCTTATCACTCTGCCACCTACTTTAAGTATCTGGACACTCTTCTCTTCATCTCTTATCACTCTGCCACCTACTTTAAGTATCTGGACACTCTTCTCTTTCATATGTCTTTTGTTCTGGATGTATATGAAGAAGGCTTCTTATGCTTGGCATCCCTTGCTATTCTTAGTTCATTTTTTGTTTTAGCCTTCCTGATGCAATTCCTTGCTATTTGTTTATATTCTTTCGTGGCCTGGCCCCGTTTCCACTTCCTGTACATGTTTTTTTTTTTCTTCTTTCAGGCTGTCACTTAACCCTTTGTGGAGCTACGTGGGCTTCCTCTGCTGTCTTCTACACTTTTTTCTTGATGAAATTGCTTGTAGTTATGCTTTGAGAATCTAGAAGGACAGTACATTAGTGAAGTCAATGGAACTCCACTGCCTCATATTTCACCAGCTAAATTTTTTCTAACCCAGTGAAAGATAATGATTTCCCATTCAAATGGATGGAACAAATTAGGAAGCAATCCAGTGGGGATGCCAACAATCCTCTGAGGTCAGAGGAATATGGGCATTCTATAGAAAGCAAAAAAAAGTGTATGAAGGTAAAGCTTTGGGTTCCACATTACAGGAAGAATATAGCCAAGCTGGAATTGGTGCAGCACAGGGCCACAAGGATGGTGACTAGATTGCAGGGAAAGCTTTATGAAGTGAGACTGAGAGAGCTGGATCTTTTTAGCCTGGAGAAGAGGAGACTCCAAGGGGATCTGCTGGCAACATATAGGTACATGAAGGGGTGCCACACAGAGGTGGCAGAGACCTGTTCTCCCCTGCAGGGGAAGGCAGGTCATTTTCCAATGGATCAAAGCTCAGGGAACAAAGGTTCAATTTGGATGCCAGGAAGTACTTCCTGACAGTTAGGACCCCTAGGGTATGGAATGGGTTTCCATGGGAGGTGGTTGAAGCCCCATCGGTGAGGGTGTTCAAAGATAGGCTGGACATGCACATGGTGGGCATGTCGTGAGCAGAGCTGGCTGGAGCTGGGGATCAGACTAGATGGGCTGGGAGGCACCTTCTGACTTGCTCTGTTTCTATGTTTCTATCTTCTCTTTGCTTCTGCTGCCCTGCAGCTCAGCTAGATGGTCTATTTCAGCAGTCTAGCAAGGCATATATTTAGGCAGGAGGGAGGAATGTAAGGTGCCACCAGGACTCACTGTATCTTGACAGCATTGATGTCCCCTTCCTCCCCCTTCAGAACATTCTCTAATCCCCTTCTCTGAGGTTGCTCTAACAACCTTGGAGATGTAACTAGCATTTTTTTCCATGCAAGGGTGTGCAGCAGGATGCATATGTTTGTATATAGAGAATATATTCGTTTATTTGCTCTTCGAAACCACAACAAAAACTTAAGTCTTTATGAGTAATACCAGAAATATTTTAATGGATATTTTGTCACTTTACAAGAAAAATATTTTTCTGAAAATTAATTTCCTATCAATATAAATGGTAGGTGAAAGAAAGGAAATATATTAATGAAAACTATTTTTATATCTCATAGCAAAATTAGGTTCAATGTACAAAACCAGATCATTTGACCATAGCAATCTATTTTAAAAGTTTAACCTTTTCCTTTAATACTCGAAATTTAGGGTTGCTATTGACTTTCTTATTAAACAGGGCCAGAATTTCCTCTTCAGATTTGTGATGATCACCTTCTATTGCATAATACTGGGCTAAAACCTATACAATAAACAGTAAGACAAATATGTTACAGTCTAGGACTTTAATGCTACCAGTGTAAGCAGATTTTCAGGAATAAAACAGATCTTCCACAAACATCACTTTCTATGAATTACAGATACTAGCTTCAATCATTTATGGAAAAACTGGAATACTGAGGCATGTTCTAAACATGTAATTCCACTGCAAATTTCATCACATTTTGCCTGTACACTGTATTGGCTACCAGTTTGATGTTGGGGACAATCCAAAGCAGACTTTTCCAACCTGGTGACATATTTTGAATTGCAGCTCCCATCATTCCCAGCCAGACTGGAAGAGGCTTGTGTCTACGTTTTGAGCTTTACAGCTCTAAATTGTCTTGGATGGATACCTGTGAAATATCACCTGTTCCAATATCGTACTGCCAATATGTTAAGATTGTCTGCTGAGACTCTGAATTAAGTGCCCACCTAAGCACTTAAGTGCCCTCCTGCTCAGGTAGCCTTATTGGCTAATGTGGCAAGATAAAAATCCAATAAATAAATAAATAAGCAAGCATCAAGCAAGCAAGCAGGTGAAGTAGTTGACTACTGAGGATAAGACCTTTGCTATGATCACTACAGTATAATGGCACTCAGTTAAAAGCATTTATCTATGGAAGCTTTCTATGGCATTCAACCCCTATTTCCATTTTTCTTTTTTAAAGTTATAAGCCATTAAAATTATAATTAGGTCACCATCGATATTGTAGTAATATAGAGTATCATAAAAGATGATATAGAAGTGTTTAAAATACAATGTGATGCTTTTGGTTGTAAGACCAGCAAAAGCCTAAGGCTGTAATCCTAAACATACTTACCAGCAAGTAGGACCCATTTAATCTACACTGCTGAGAGGTGACTATGGTTCAATGTTGTAATTCTTTGATTCCTGGATTTCATTAACTCTGCTCACATGATATCATTGAGGTGATATCATTGACTCAGAGTGTAGCCCACGTTGTATCAAATGCCTCTACAGAGGGTATGCCAATGCCTCTGGATTGGCATATCAGAGGGCACAAAGGGCTGCGGTCACAGGGTGGATGGATGGGAAGGAGGCAAGGAAAAATCAGTGACTCCCCACACCCATGCACAAATAGAAGTATCGGCAATTGCCTGAGTGAGGCTTAAGTCCAAAACCTACGCATTTTGAATTTATCACTGATGTCAAAAACACTTCTGGCAATTGCCCATGGCACTTTGCTATGGACAAATGGAATATCCAGTTTGAACATGAAGCATATAGACTACAGAACTCCATTTATCTGAAAAGCAGTTTTTGATACCACCTCCGATAAATATTGGCTACAGGCCCCTGGACTTCAATTGGATGAAATGGCTTCTCTAAAATTCGAATTTAGATGCAAAGGTTTTGTGGAGTCTTTGTGAATATTCAATCTGCTTACAAGTTTAAAAACCTGCCAACACACAGATTGTGCTTTATGCTACTGGTGAGAGGTTCATCAGAGAAGAAATCAGGCAGCACTATCAAAGCACTACTCAACTATTTTTATTTTTTATTTATTTTTGGATTTATAGCCTGCCTTTTCCTACAAAGGGCTCAAGGCAGCTTACATCATTCTCCTCCTCCATCTTATCCCCACAACAACAGCCCTGTGAAGTAGGTTGGGCTGAGAGTCTGTGACTGGCCCAAAGTCCCCCAGTTGGCTCCATGGCTGAGCGGGGACTAGAACCCAGATCCTCTGAGTCCCAGTCCCATGCTCTTCACCACTACGCCACACTGGGAATTCATTAGCAATTTCTCATTTATAAGACTGACAAACTAGTAGTTCACACTTTGGTTGCATGCATAGTAAATCTCCCTGTCCCTCACGGTCATTCAATAATTGAAATAAGTGCTAATAGTTATTACAATTGGGTTGTATTCTGTGTTTCATAAAGTGCTCCAACGTACCTTTTTCCTTAGTTTCTTAATTGATATTTCATTGTCAGGTGCTTGCTTCAGAACAGCTTTTATGGTTCCTTTCCAACTGAATTTACCTGTATAATTGGTTAAATGACAAGGTATACAGAATAATAAATAAATTATTCCCAAATTAATCCTGAAACTTACCACAACTTAAACATCACACTGGCTCATATGTGCTTGCTAAATACATTGCTGCACTGGGATCATTTTGGGGTGAGTAAAAGATCATCATTAAGGCTAGTACTAATAGAAATATTACTCTTCTGCCATAAAAAGACACCTCCTTTGAATGTTTAATGTGAGGAACAAGTGGAATGGAGGGCTTTGGCAAGCATTTCTGCAGGAAGTAATCATTACATTGAACTAAAGCTGTTGCAAGTCACATTTGCTCCCTCCAACAATCACCAGCCTCAGGCAGTTTCTTTGCAAAACACTCTTTATTGTTTCCAACCTTAAATCATCCAGACAAGCCTGTGAGCATACACAAAACAGTCTGTTGAACACAACCTAGCAATTTCTTGGGGGGGGGGGGGAGCTCAGAGGGGAGGAGCTGATTTCCTTTTAAAGATTCCCCAGTTTCAACTGTCCCTCCTATTTCCTGTACCTCCATATTGTTCCCATGGTCTGTCAGGCCTGCTTCCACTACTGCCCTTGAGCTCATAGCCTCTGCCACCTCCTGCTTCTCGATCTCACTAAAATAGTCATCTTTCTGATCCAAGTCAGGAAAAGTGACATGGCTAGCTTCCCATGGAAACACTTGCCAAAACCCGCCTCCCTGCTTGTTCCTAACACTCAATATCCTGGGCCTAACGATTAGTAACCCACTTTCAGGACAGGGGAAGAACTCCCCTTTTGCTTCCATCAGTCCCCTGTGCTTTACCTATGTTACTTGCACACACATTTACTGAGCTGTTATAGTATTATTACACATAGCTGTAGCTCACTATTACATATAGCCAGATCCAAAGTAAGGTTACCTTGATGTGTGTCCTCATTTTCCTCAGTTTCTGGATTGTTCATTCTTTTGGGTGCAATCGGAGATTCATCTACATTCATTTTATTTATTTTGGGGAACGAGGAAAAATGCAATGAAATAAGTGTCAAAGTACAGCAAAAGACTCATTAGGAAATAAATGTCACTGAGCTGCAGACGGGCTAAAGGCCCAACAAACCTGCTAAATCAGCTAAAGCTGTATGCAATATTCATCAAGCAAAACAAAACCAAACCAAAAAAAAGCCTCCTTTGTTTGACTGTTAATAGAAGCCTCTCACACAATGGGAAAGGCAAGATAGAATTTTTCTTAATGTTCCTAGATAAAAAACAGAATGTCCCCCTCACTTCCACTTTAATTCCAAGTAGTGAAGTTTACTATGAGGAGATGCTCTTCTGCTTGCATCCCTACACTTTAAAGAGTATCAGTCTTATCTATAGTTAGCAGTTAAACAGACCTTTCTTTTGCTATAAGATGCTAAAATAGGTTGCACAATTATAAACAGCAAGAAATGTAAATTTTGTACCTATAGAGAGGTTGCGTTTCTTCATGTTTACTTTGGCCCCTAGCTCTTTTGCATCAAGGCAATTTCCATTCTTTTCCAAATCAGTTGAATCAACTGCTTCCTGTTTTGCCATCTTCAAATAATAACTTTTGGACATTTTTGCATTCTCATCTCTTAGTTTTTCTTTCTTAGATTTTTTGCTTTTTATAAGCAAATTCTCTTCTTGAGCTTGTAACCTTATTTCTTTTGGCTTTTTGATATTTTCCCTCTTTTCCTTTTGTTTCCTTTCACACTTTTTCTGTACAGGTTTCTCTGTTTTTACATTGTCTTCTGATGGAGTCGGCACAGTTACAGTTACATTTTTTGCAGAATGATTTTCAATTGTCTCCTGTTGAGAAGATGACGGGGGGTGGGGGTTAAACTTCAGCACAATGAGGCTTCTCAATCAAGAGGAGGGCTCCATGGCTGGACAAAATGTATGTAGTGTCAGACACATTTATCTCAACTGAAGAACCACAAGCATCTGATTCCGATGTAATCATGACAAGGTTAAGAATTCCTCTTCTCCCATAGTTGAAAAGGTGGAAAGGTACCTTATTATATACTTATTATCTCAATAACTCTTACAACAGCCCTATAAAATATGCTGCAGATAGGGGAACCAAGGTTGGAAAAAAGAACATTGAATTTATTGTGATTCTCATTCTCTTTAGTGGATGAAGGTTGTCCTTGAGTGGCTTACTCCTTCCAAGTGGTCCAGAAAGCAGAACTATAAAAACAGATTTTTGTTTACTCAGTTCCTGGAGAAGCCCCTCCCAGCACCAAGGCATGATAAAGCATAGAAACAATTAAAAACAGAAGGCATTTTGATGAGAACTGGCATTGCTTCCAAAGAAGCATGAAAGGGAAAAAAAAGAATGCTAATGATGACTGCAACATTGTTCTCTACAAGTTGTTTTCAGGCCTGATGAGAAGGCACACTTTAAAAGTAAGAGGCATGGAAGACCACTGGCAAAATAAAATTGGCAAGATGTTTATGCCCTATAACATGGGATCTGTACAGGGCCTTAAAGGAGTGCAGGTTCTCACAGTGTTCTCTCTTCTGCACTGCTCTTTCTCTCAGGAATCTTGGATCAAGCCACTGCCTCCAAAATGGTAGGCACACATCATTTTCCTTTTGGACAGATATTCCAACCTAAGAATTCCAATTCCCTATCTTCAGTTCACATGAATACTTAACAACAATTGCATGGCATTCCACTAAGCAACTATACTTTTTGCAGGAAACAAAGACAGAAGTGTATTTAACGCCATTTTTCAACCATCCAAGTTAGTTTACACTGCATAAGTACACTGTTCTGAGAGTGCTGTACTAATTGAATGGTATAGAAATGCCTTAAATAAGTATGGAAAGGAAGGGAAGTCATCTATTCAGTTACTAGGCTTTAGCAAGTTAATGCCCCCCACCCACAAAACTAAGTCTGGTTACAGGTCAGCCATGAAGTATAGATTCTAGTTTATAAAACATAACTTCTACAATTGCTTACCTTACTGGTAGCTTCTGCAAAAATATCCCACACCTGATCCTGTAGAGCAGTGTTATGTATTTTTAAACTGTTGGCCATCCAGTTCTGTTCAGTCAAAAAAAAGCAGCATTTCTATTTGAATGAAACAATGCAAATCTACTTCCTGACAAAACCATCTTGCAGTTTTCAGAGAAGGCTCCATCTACCTATATTCATGTACCTTTATTCAGAAGCCAGAGGCCAAGAAGCATTCATGAGATATCCTGTTCTGTCATAACTAGCAACAGTAAAATAGTATGGCATATTGTATGACATACATGACACTATAACTGGTATCATATACTACAATACATGCTAGACTGGAATGCAAGAAAACAAAAGCTGTTATATGGCTCAAACACACCCGATGTGAGCCCTGTCCACGTACACCCTCAATAAGTATGGTTAATGAGTGGAGCAGGCTGTGCCAGCCCCTGCCCCTGTACACCGACCATGTCCATCTGCAAAGGAACATAGAAACAGAGTGAGTCAAAAGGGGCCTCCTGGGCCATCTAGTCTAATCCCCGGCTCTAGCAGGCTCCACTCATGACATGCCTACCACGTGCATGTCTAGCCTATCCTTGAAGACCCTCACTGATGGGGCTTCAACCACCTCACATTCCATACCTTCAGGGTCCTAATTGTCAGGAAGTACTTCCTGTCATCCAAACTGAACCTTGGTTCCCTGAGCTTTGCTCCGCTGAAGTGCGTCCTGCCCTCTACTGCAAGGGAGAACAGGTCTCTACCCACATCCATGTGACATCTCCTCACATACCTATATGTCGCCAACAGATCCCCTCGGAGTCTCCTCTTCCTCAGGCTGAAAAGATCCAGTTCCCTCAGTCGTGCCTCATACAGCTTTCCCTGCAATTCAGCCACCATCCTTGTGGCCCTGTGCTGCACTGACTCTAACCTGGCTATATCCTTCCTGTAACGAGGGGCCAAGAACTGAACACAATACTCCAGCTGCAGGTGCACCAGAGTCCTATAAAGAGGTAGTAATACCTCTATTGAATCTAGAAGCCACGCTTCTGGCTATGGAGCCAAAAGTGGTGTTTGTCCTCTTGACTGCCGCATCACGCTACTGACTCATGTTTAGCCTGCAGTCAACCAGTACCCCAAGATTCCTTTCACAAGTGCTGCTCTCCAGCAGCTTGTCCCCTAATCTGTACTTATGACACCTATTCCTATGCCCCAAGTGCAACACCTTGCACTTATCCACATTGAACGCCATCCTGTTGTCTCCTGCCCACTTCCATAGTCTGTCCAGATCCTTTTGGATCTGGAATACCTGCTCCTCAGTTGGCCTCTGTCCCTGTTTTAGTATCTTCTGCAAATTTGATCAGCAAACTGTTCACCCCTTCTTTCATGTCGTTCATGAAAAGACTGAACAGGATTGGCCCCAGGACAGCCCTGGGGGACCCCACTTGTCTCTGGCCACCATCCTGATGATTCCCCACTAATGGTTACTCTTTGCTTTCGGTCAGTCAACCATACCCTAATCCATCGGACAGTGCATTGGTCTATCTCAAAACTCCTCAATTTCTCAACCATTTCTCAATTTCCCAAAGTATCATGGGGCACTTTGTCAAAGGCCTTGATGAAATCCAGGTAAACAACATCCACTCCATCCCCTCCATCTTGCCACCTTGAAACATCGTCAAAGAATTCCACAAGTTTTGTCTGGCAGGACCTGTTATTGCGGAAGCTGTGTTGTGTGGCTGCCGGCCTCCCTTCCCTATCTAGCATCACTAGATCTCTCGCTGTTATGAGCCTTTCCATTGTTTTTCCTACAATGGATGTAAGGCTAACTGGTCTGTAATTCCCCATGTCCCTTCTACTACCCTTTTTGAAAATTGGGACCACTGATGCCACCCTCCAGTCCTCTGGAACTTTACCTGTTCTCCACAAGGCCTCAAAAATGGAGGCCAGTGGCAGTGAGAGAACCCCTGTCAACTCTTGAAGTACCACTGGGTGTAACCCATCAGGGCCTGGCACCTTTGTAACGTCCAGTGCCCCAAGGAGCTCCTTGACTTCTATGGGGGTGACTCTAATCTGTGCCTCTAAGTCCCCAACCTCATCTAATCTCCTATGCGGATATCCCCCGTCCTGCTTTGGGGAGAACACAGAGGCAAAATAGTCATTTAGCATCTGTGTCTGTTCCCTCACATCAGTCACTGGATCCTCTTCCTCCTCATTAAGCGGTCCCACTACCTGTCTCCCCTTCCTCTTGCTATTTACATGCTGAAAGAAGCCCTTTTTGTTGCTCTTGATATTCTTTGCAAGTCTCAGCTTGTAATCAGCCTTAGCCTTGTGAAGAGTCCTTCTGCAACGGACCTCCTCCTCCTGGTATACCCTTTTGTCTATTTGCCCCAGTGTCCATTTCCTACGGAGGTTCCTCTTGCGTCTCATCCCTTTTACCACATCCTTTGCATCCGTGGCGGCACTCTTCTTCACCTCCCCGCCTTACTAACTAGAGGTAGTTAGGAACACATACATACTCGCCACTGGAAGCAGTGCTAGGAAACACAGCCCTAGTCTTCTTTGTGTGTGCTTTACTACACAATGTAAGAATGGAGTGATGGGGAAGCAGGCATAAGTCACAAATGTGTGTCTCATTGTGTGACTTTGGGCCAGCCACTGCATTTCAGTCTAATCATCCTCACCAGGTTTTGGGGATAAAATGGAGGAGGATTAGGTACACTGCCTTGGGTACAATGGAGGAAAAGAGATGTGAAAAAAACATGTATAGAAGACAACAGAGGAAGCCCACATGGCTCCACAAAATTTAAGTGACAACCTGAAAGAAAAAAAGGACATGTACAGGAAGTGGAAGCAGAGCCAGGCTGCAAAGGAAGAACATAAACAAATAGCAAAGAATTGCAGGGATGGCATTAGGAAGGCTACAGCAGGAAATGAACTGAGAATAGCAAGGAAAGCTAAGAATAAGAAAGCCTTCTTCAGATACATCCAGAACAAAAGACATGAGAAAGGAAAGGGTGTCCAGCTACTTAAAGTGGATGGCAGAGTGATAATAGACGACAAGGAAAAGACAGAGGTGGTCAATTCCTACTTTGCCTCCATCTTCTCCTGCAAGAAAATCTACAACAAAGAGGAAATACAAGCTGAAAGTGAGAGAAGGAAGCCAAAGATTGACAGAGAAAAGGTCAAGGAATACCTGGTCAAGATGTCAAGATGGAATAAACATGTTCAAATCTCCAGGGTCCCGAGTCATAAAAAAGCTTGCAGAGGTACTCTCAGAACCACTGGCTATTATCTTTGATAAGTCCTGGAAAACAGGAATGCTGCTAGACCAATGAAGAAGTGTTAACATTGCCCCTTTCTTGAAAAGGGGGGGAAGATGATCCTAGGTACTACAGACCAGTTAGTCTGACATCAATCCATGAAAAAATTCTGGATAAAATTATTAAAAAATCAGTCTGCAAGCATCTTGAAAAAAATACAGTGATTAATAAAAGCCAACATGGATTTATCAAAAATAAATCCTGTCAGACTAATTTAATCTAATGTTTTGACTGGGTAACCTCCCAGTGGGACAGAGTGAACACTGTGGACACAATCAACCTAGACTTTAGCAAAGCTTTTGACATAGTGCCCCTGAACATTCTGATAAGCGAATTAACAAAAAGTGGGCTAGATAGAAAAACTATTAGGGGGAATGCAATGTTGGCGGCTGAACTGGACACAAAGTGTGCTCATCAATGGCACCTTCTCAAATTGGATGAAGGTAACTAGTGAGGTGCCACAGGGCTCAGTCCTGGGCCCTGTGCTTTTCAAACTCTTTATTAATGATTTAGATGAGGAAGCAGAAGGACAACTGTGGACAACAGGCTAAATATAAGCCAACAATGTGATCCAGCTGCAAAAGGGCAAATGCTATTTTAGGATGAATTAATAGAAGTATTACTTTCAAATCACAAGAAGTAGTGGTTCCCCTATAGTCCTCACTTGTCAGACCTCATCTGGAATACTGTGCCCAGTTCTGGGCATGAAGATTTAAGAAAGATGCAGAAAAATTAGAAAGGGTCCAGCGGAGGGCAACAAAAATGATCCAGGGTTTGGAAACACTGCCCTATGAGGAGAGACTGAGAGAACTGGGCATATTCAGCCTTGAAAAGAGAAGACTGGTAGGGGGAGGCGCATGATATCCCTCTAAAAGCATCTCAAAGGTTGCCACAAAGACGAAGGTCAAGATCTCTTCTTGCTGATACCAGAGCGTCGGAAATGGAATAATCTACTCAAGTTGCAACCAGCCAGATTCAGGCAAGATACCAAGAAAAAATTTCTCACTGTCAGAGCAATACAACAGTGAATCAAGTTGCCTAGAGAGGTTGTGGGCTCTCCACAGAGACATTCAAGAAGAAACTGGACAACCATCTGAGTGGGATGGTGTAAATTGGTGTCCTGCAACACAGGGGGTAGGATCTGATGGCCTTCATAGCCCCTTCCAACTCTACTATTCTATGATTCTATATGTAATAACAAATAAAAGACAGCTGACAGGCAGCCTTTGAAGCTACTGTTTTCCCCACTGATAATTAGTATGCATGGAAGCACACTGAAATCAGCTTCTGAGTGGCTCTTTGCCAATACTCTTCCTTTGCTCCCTCAGATAGCCATCTCTCTCAGATCTTTGTGCCTCTGCTCACTGCCTTTCTGCCATCACTGTAAGTACGAACATAACGCTGCAAAGGCTGCCTGCCTGCATGTGTCCCTACCACTCACTTGGGGCATCGAAATATGCTGCTGTTTAATAACTATAATGACTGTTTAATAACAGTTATTATAGTTAACAGCTGTGCATAGCTGTGGCAGCAAGAATGGGCAGCAGAAACAGCAAAGAGGATATGAAGGTAAGGAGAGGCCAAGCATGCCATCACCACGCTCCCCACTCCATGGCTTTGAAAGAAGGAACGAGGCTGATGGGAAGGTAACTTGCATTAAGATGCTGAAGGTAGCCCCAACAACTTGTCTACTGTAAAACTCCAGTGCACTGTGAAAGATTCTTGGCCACATTTTAGAGAATTATTTTCTTCTGGCGCATTGGCCATATTGTACCACTTGGCAGAAAATGCAGATCATCTCCTCAGTTTGGACATTTGTATAGACACTTGAGGAAACTATGTCTGTCATGACTCATCTTTTTTCAAGGAACTCCAGCAGAGAAATCAAGCCTCTATGTGTCTAACAGAAATAGGTCTCATTGAGTTAAATGGGGATTACTGCCAGGTAAAACATGTCTACAGTACTGCAGCTTAAATAGCTAACCTACCAACAACTTACCTGAAACTTCTTTTTTTTTCTTGGAATGTTGTCATATGCACATATCTGTTGTAATATATCTTGAACTCTGGGATTAATGTTTGTTTTCTTTATTGTCTCATGAATCTTCTGCAAAATGGAAAGTGGATCTGGTTACATTCAAGACTCAATATACTTAAATAACAAGTCTGATTACACAAGAGGTTAGATTGTAACAACTCTTGTTTTCTCTGCCTGCAGATCTGGGGTATCTGACACACAGCCATGCTGGGTAAAATTTAATTAATTTATTATTTCAATTTATATCCTGCCTTTTTCCTACAAAGGGCTCAAGGCAGCTTACATCTCCTCCTCCATCTCATCCCCACAACAACAACCCTGTGAGGTAGGCTGGGCTGAGAGTCTGTGACTGGCCCAAAGTCACCCAGTTGGCTCCATGGCCGAGCAGGGACTCGAACCCAGATTGCCTGAGTCCCAGTCCCGTGCTCTTAACCACTACACCACACTGGCTCTAATTTGAAAAGCTCAGAATAATAATATTTTCATTTTATATTGCCTATATAATCCTTATGACCTCTGTAAATAAAAACTTAAGGACACATGAAATTTCACATTGGGCAGTAATTCATACTTAAAGCAGCAAGTACTGCTAAACTGCTGCCTGGCTGCAACGATGGACTGGATAAGGGCTATCAAACTGAAAATCAATCCAGGCAAGACTGAGATGCTACTGGTGGATGCTTCCTCTGACTGGATAGGCAAAGTTCAACTGTTCTAGATGGGGTTGCACTTCCCCGGAGGGAGCAGGTTCATAGCTTGGAGGTGCCCCTTGATCTACCTTTGTCACTTGATGCTCAGGTGGCATTGGTGGCTCCAAGTACCTTTTACCACCTTCAGCTGGTAGCCCAGCTGCGGCCATACCTGGACAGGGATAGCATGGCTTCAGTAATCTATGCTCTGGTAATCTCTAAATTAGATTGCAATGCACTTTACATGGGACTGCCCTTGAAGATGATTCAGAAGCTACAGCTGGTGTAGAATGCAGTAGTCAGATTAATAACCATTAGGTCCAAACATGTAAGATCGGTTCTGGCCTGCCTGAACTGGCTGCCTATAAGCTTAAAGGTCCAATTCAAGGGACTGGTTTTAACCTCTATAAAGCTCTACATGACTTAAGACTGCAACACCTGCCAGAATGCATCTGCTAACCCAATCTGGATGTAACACTCAACTTCTGGGGCCTTCCTCTGAGCACCAATCCAAGAGGCTCAGGAGATGGCAATTAGGAGGAAGGCCTTCAAACTCATTCCAAACAGGATTAAGGTGTTACTTTGTAAGTGATGCTGCTGACCATCAAATATTTGCTGGGAGGAGATTTCTATACAATGTCATTATGGATATCCAAGTAGCTTCTGTGGCTCAGCCTGCCTTCTACCAGCTTTGGTAGATATGACAGCTATGCCCTCAGCTGAAAAAAGCATTCTTCAGTTAGTTAGGCATGCTTTGTTATGAAACTTAAACTGCTTCATAACAAAGCAGACGGATTACTAACAGGTAAATACCATGCTGATCCTATTTCATTTCAGCAATATTGAAAGATCACTCTGAGTTCTAGTTTATTTCTGGGCAGTATTCTACATGCCAGTTTTAAAGTATAACACTCTAGTATTCTAGTACTAGGTATCTGAAGGACTACATTTTCTCCTAAGAACCAGCCCATGAACTCAGGTTGGCAGGCTGGACCCTGATTTAAGTGTCTCCATTTTTGAAGCCAGATGGGTGACCAGAGATTGGGCTCTCCTAATACACTTTCCTTAAACAAAAAGGCCTGGCACCTGTCCTAGTATTCTCTGAGAACCAACTGAAAAGTTGGGTTGATATTATAGAATTTGTCGTGACATTAATATTTGGTTAGCTTAAAAATATCCATATATTGATTCCTTGTATTGATTTTAATTTGGGAGCTCAGAGATGACTGATAAAATGACAGTATACAAGGTATTTTCTCCACTAAAATTCAACATGGTATTACATTAAAAGCATTTTTACCTGAATCCATTCCTGCTGTTTGGCATCTCCTTTGTGAGTTTTGACTTCATAACCCTTGCCACCATATTTCTGGTCTTCACTTAGGCACTTAACATGACATTTGTAGTCATCACCCCTTTAATATTAAGAACATTATATATAAGCAACTATTACAGAAGAGGACATTTCAGCACAGCCTTGCAAGAGTGAAATGCTTTGATTTCTGAAAGTATTCAAAATAGCCTGGTATCCATCCAACCCAATACTTTGACTCCAGTCTCAAGGCCTCATGCGTTTTCCTGAGCCTTCTTCTGGATCCTTTTGTCTGCAAATGCCAGCTACTAAATTTGAAAATTTTTATATATGAAACATGTGCTGTACTGTTGAGCTATGAGCATTCCTCTGTATGTATTGTCTATCAGTCCGTACCCCCATGCACGTAATCCCTAGGGCCCCATTGTGGTGTTCCTGTGAAAGGGTTGAGTCTGAATTTCAAAAGCAAGGTTCAAATTGCTGCTCAATCAGGAAATTCACTGCAAAGGTCAGGGAAACAGTCTAACTCACCTCACAGTGGTATTAAAGCAACAGTAGTATTCATCCACTATGCAAAACCAGAACAGGGTCTTTATCAACACAAGATTGCCCCTTTAAATACAAATAAACAAAACTGTGCCTAAAGAATTTTCCCCATCAGCATTAAGGCCTGTTTCACTATCTTGGGACCCCCTGACCTCAGTATTTTCTGAAAAGCATCAGATTTCTGCTTTACACTTCTCTACAGAGATATCTGGTACTGATTTCTCTTTCAAATGGTTTCAAATCAGATGACATCACTTTGATCATAATCATAATTAAAATCCAAACACCTATTAAGCACTATATTTTGGAATGTATTATTTGGCATACTGCGCAGCAATACTAGAAAGATCTGCACATCAATGTAGTAAGTTATGTGAATTTCTCTGATTTTTTACTTAACTTTTTTATTTGGTGAATAAACTTTAGATAGATATCTGGAGATTGTTTTTAAAAATATATGAATTTACACATGGCTAATCCAAAAAAGCCCTCCAATTTTACAACCCTGAATATATCGATATTTTTAATCAATGACCTGGAGGAAGGTCAAATTTGCAGACGATACTGACATGGGGGCAGTGGCCACAACTGAGGAGCAGGTACTCCAGATCCAAAAAGATGTGGACAGACCGTGCAAGTAGGCAGGTGAACAACAGGATGACAATGATGAAGGTAAGTGCAAGGTCTTGTACTTGACTCAGGAATAGTGCCATAAGTACAGGATGGGGGACAAGTGGCTGGAGAACAACACTTGTGAAAGGACTCTTGTGGCACTTACTGACAACAAGCTAAACATGAGCCAGCAGGGTGATGCAGCAGTTATGAGGGCAAATGCCACCCTTGGATGTAAAGCCAGAAGCATAGCTTCCAGGCAGAGAGGTGTTAGTACTGCTCTATATTACTCTGGTATGCCTGCAACTGGAGAACTGTGTCCAGTTCTGGGGGTTCACATTATAACATAGCTAAGTTAGAATCAGTTCAGCATAGGGTCACAAGGATTGTAGCTCGATTGAAGCAGGGATGCCACATGAGATGAGATTGAGGGAACTTGGTCTTTTCAGTCTGAAGAAGAAGAGACTCAGAGGGGATCTTATAGTGACATATAGGTATGTGAAGGGTTATTACATGGGAGAGTGTCATGACCTGTTCTCCCCTGTGGTGGAGGACAGGATGCAATCCAATGGGGCAATACTCAAGGAACTGGGCTACCATGGGAGGTGGTGGAGGCCCCCTCAGTGAGGATGTTCAAGGAAAGATTGGACAGCCAATTGTTGGGTATTACATAAGAGAGCTGGCTGGAGCTGGGGATCAGACAAAATGTCTTGGGAGACCCCTTCTGACTTGCTATATTTCTGTGTTTCTAATATGATAAATGATCATCATATACATTCAAAGAAAACTTGTGAGTTTATATCTTATATGGGAGCTGTGTGTCTAATGGTGTTATTAAAATAAATAAATAAACAAACAAACATGAGTGCCTATCCTTATACAACAGAAACAGCATATTGAATGCACATGAGGCTAGAAGAAACACTGAGGTGTGAATTTTTAAAAAATAACTTTAGGGGGAAAATCCTAAAGGGATTAAAACTTCCAACATAGCCTGAACATACTCTGTGGGCACAGATTCTGACTGCATTTTGGGGAAGAGGCATCATACAGAGGAAGAGGGAGAATGGAATGGGCTATACTAGAAGGAGGCAGTAATCTTACTAATGAGGTGTAGCTGAAAACATCTCTGCTTCAGTGGAATAGGAATGCATGTAGACTCAAGAATTTTGAACCATCCCTTATATAATCAGAGGCCTCCTCTATCATTGTACAAGACTGCTTGGGCATCCAAGCTTGCACAGTCAGGGAAATTGCTGCTTGTTTTACAGTGCTTTTGCTATTGCTTTATCTGCAAAGACAGTGGTACCTCGGCTCACAAATGCCTCAGTTCATGACCAAATCGGGTCACAAACAGAAATGTCAATAATTTTTTTCCTCAGGTCACGAACTCCACATCGGGTGATGATCCCGATCACGCCCGTCTTCCCTGCACAGGTGCAATCGTGGACATGCTCAGGGTGGGGGGGGAGAGATGGCTGCGATCATGCTCAGGGGGTGGGGGAGATGGCCATGATCATGCTTGGGGGTGGGGAGGAGATGGCCGCAATCTTTGTTGTTCTTTGTTACTTTGTTTCAAATTTTTGTGATTTTTAAAAAAATGGTTACAGAACAGATTAACCTTATTTCCATTGAATCGTATGGGGAAATCTGACTTGGGTCATGACCAATTTGGGTTGCGACCAGAGTCATGGAATGGATTAAGTTTGTGAGCCAAGGTACCACTGTATGATCTTTGTCCAAATAGCTTCACTGCAAAACTACTTTATTTACTAAATAATAAATAACTACAGTCTGGTTTCTACCTACCAGAAATCTTTGCCACAGTCCATGCAAGAAAGGCATTCACAGTTCCGGCACATATTTACATGCTTTTCAACTTGTCCTTTCTTTACAGATTCTCCACATGCATTACATGTAAAAACCACCATTTCTGTCGAAATAATTTAATCCGTTTCTTCAAAGACTGCTAGACTTGTTTGTGCTCTGACAATTCTAGAAATGAATTAAACATAACATGTTAAAATATAGCATGTTATAAAGATATTTTAATTTATTTTGAAAAGTAGAACCACCAAAACAAATCTCAACAAAGATATTCAGATCCTAGTCAAGCTTAAAGATAAAAACCATTAAGTTAATAAACACAAAACTTAAGGCTAAACACTCAAAGGTATTAGTATTAAAGAATCAAGGAAGTCTAGTAATTACTGTGAACATCCAAAAGATTTTGAGTTCAACTAAAATTCTCAGAGGGCACCATCTAATATGATCACTCCATAACCTTCCTATCATGGAGGATTACAGGCATCCAAATGACCATGGGAGAATATGGACTGTCACATTTCTCGCACTCTGCAGAAGACACAGCTGGCCAGTTCCTGCCATCTGTGTCTTTTGCCCCGGTCATGAGGAAGTGGGGCTGAGGCACTGCCAAAATTCCTTGTATTCTGATGGAGCCAAACCCCTCTGCTCCCCATCACACTGGCTCTGAAGTTGCAGAAGTGCAGGCACATCAATGCCAAAGTACCAGTTCTGACCAGGCAAAGTATTTCCAAAGTTAGACCTTGGACTCCAGCTTGCACTGTGGCCATCCAGGCAGTGTCAAGTCACTATCGAAAGTAGCTATAAGTCTCTATTTGTCCTCTGAATTCAGCAGGACTTATTTCTCAGCAAACATACCCAAGATCAGGCTGACAGTGTTCTAATCGTTTCCCTTGATTTCTCCCTATCCCAAAGCAGTAAAAGCTCAAGCTATCCTCTCTGAGTCACTACTCTGATATCTCAGGCTTCAAAAGATTAACAGTTTCACCAAACTCAACTTGTAAAACCCCAGAAGCATCAGCTTACCCTGTGAGAATCACTGGGAAACCCTTTCCTCCCTGAGGCTACTTAAGATCTCTATGGCCTGAGGGAAGCAATCCAAATAAAAAAAATGCCCAATCCAGGGAGCTTGTACCATCTGCACCTGGAAAGAGCCAACCTTAATTAGAGATTTTGTTGTTCTGAATTGTGCTCTGTTTATATTTTTAAAAACTCTAAACTGCCCCAGGAGCCCAAGTACAAAGTCGGCATACAAATACATGAAATAAATAAGAGGTGGTATTTCTCCAAAGCGGTAACCAAAGCAGCATAATTTTTCTGAAGTTTAGAGTAGAACATATATGAAGGAAGATTGTACTAGTGACTACCATATTTTTCATTCTATAAGACACACTTTTCCCCCCCTCAAAAGTAAGGGGAAATGTCTGTGCGTCTTACAGAGCGAATGTGTGTGTGCCCGACGCCCGGGACACTGCTGGCCCGCCTGCACCACGTGGCACCACCTGACCAGCACGCACTCGGCGCACACTGCTCCGCGCCCCCCCTCCGGCGCAGGTGAGAGCTGTGCCACTCAGGGCGAGCGGTACGGAGGAGGAGGAGCCGCGGGCTTTAACCTGCCAGCCGCACAGAGAGACGGACTGCTCACCCCTACCGCCCGGAAGACCACTGCCGGCACGCTGCCGGCCCGGCTGCACCACACCTGGCCGGCACACACTTGGCGCGCCCTGCTCCGCCCCCCTCCTCCGGCGCAGGTGAGAGCTGTTAATCACAGGTCGGTGTGTGCTTTCAAATGGCAACCCGTCTTTTAATGAAGCCCATGGGGAAGTCCAAAGGTTATTCATCATGATATAAGGATTAGTTTTTAATTATGTAACATGATGCTGTATATTACTACAATGTTTAAATGTTTTGGAAGATGAATTCCATTAATCCATTCACAATGTCATGCTCTTCCAGAGGTTTCTGTAAGATCATTGGGCAATTTATCTATCTAGAAAATATTATCACAGATGCTTGGTTTTACAGTTCTCCAAGCTGTGATTTTGTATCTGCCTCTTCTTCACAGCAAAAATGTTATAAAATAAACATAAAGAATTGAAAAAAAGACTTTAATCCCATTGTTCCTTTGCAAATCTATGTGCACAAAATCAGCTTCTTACCTCTTAAGTGCTAAGTTTCAAAAAAATGAAATAGAAGAAGATTGTTGGGAGTGGAATAGAGCTGCACAAGGAGCCAAGAGGGACGGGCAAACAGTAGAAATGAAAGTGAACCCTTTTAAGCAGGCTATTCCACAACTCCCTGGATCTCTTTGTGTACAGCCTGAGATTTATCATATTTATTCTTTCCATGGAGGAGAAAAGCTATAATAGCAGCAGTCCATAAAAGACACCCAGTTTGAGAATATTTTAATGAAGTTCCTCTACCTATGTGTAAGGCAAGCATGCATGCAAAACCATGTTTTAAATCTACCCTTACTGACTAGTGATTTAAATAATGATTTAAATCAAATTACCCTATATTAAAGCTTTTGACTGTGTGGAATGGCAAACAATAAAGATATTAATAAAAGCATTAGGGTTTAGAAAATTATTTAAAGGTATAATAGAGCAAGTATACTCAGGAAATGTTGCAAATGTGATAATAAATGATGGTATAACAGAACAAATATCCTTGGGCCAGGGTACTAGACAAGTATGTCCCCTTTCCCCAATATTGTTTGCTCTCATTATAAAATTATTAGCAAATAGTATTAGGAATAATTAACACAATAAAAGGTATAAGTTTTGTGAATGAAATTAAGATTAGTTTATTTGCCAATGATACTTTGTTAACAAAAAAGGGTCCATCTAAATACGGTACATTACAAATTTGGAATAAGTATAAGGAAAAGTTTATGCCATCAATCGCACCATTATATCCAATTACTGAATTAGAGAGGTGTCCACCAAATTTGGGAAAAATATAGGAAAAATATTAAAGAATAAACAAATATTAAATTAAAAGGTTGGTTAAGAAAATGAATAAAAACTGAAAGAGTGTTACTAGAAAAGGAAAAAATAACTTGCTTTAATGTGATCGAACTAGAATGTTGGCTAAAGATTGGTTAAAGAAAAGAGGTAGATGTAGAGATTATACTAAATTTGAGGCTATGATCGTGGAAAAGGAAAAACAAGACAATATGCAGATGAAAGGGATAGTAAGAAAATCTATAAGATATTATTGGAAGATGATGAGCAAATTGATTCAATTAAAGAAATATGGGAAACAGGTTAGAGAAAGAATATTAGTAATAAAGATTGAAAACAAACATTTGGACTAACAGGATATTAAAATGTATGTGAGTAAGAATAAAGGAAAAATATAAATAAGTATGGAAATAGTATTTAACTCTGGTACAGGTGAATTGTATATATAGCAAATATTCCAACCTATGTTGGAGATGTGGCTGTGGAATGGGTACATACTTTCATATGTGGTGGGAATGTGAATACTTAATGAAGTTTTGGAAAAAGGTTTTTAAAGAGAGTAGTAAAATACAGTGGTACCTCGGCTCACGAACGCCTTGGTTCACAACCAAATCAGGTCACAAACAAAAATGTCATGATAATTTTGAGATAGGTCACGAACTTCGCATTGGGTGGCAATCAAGATCGCAGCCATCTCCGCCCCTCCCTCAAGTGGGGAGATGGTCATGATTGTGCTGGGGGCAGGGGGGGAGATGGCCAAGATCGCTCCCGTCTCTCCCTCCCCCAGTGCACTGGGATGATGGGCGCATGCAGGGAAATGGGGAACTTGGGTCACGACCAATTTGGGTCATGTCCAGAGTCCTGGAATGGATTAAGTTCGTGAGCCAAGGTACTACTGTATTGAGTCTAAATATTGAAATGTCTGATTTTTTTTTTCAATTTATACCCTGCCTTTTTCCTACAAAGGGCTCAAGGCAGCTTACATCATTCTCCTCCTCCATCTTATCCCCACAACAACAACCCTGTGAGGTAGGTTAGGCTGAGAGTCTGTGATTGGCTGTTGTCTTCAACCCTTTCTCTTTGTTGGAATAAATAGGGTCCTTTAGGGTGATAGGAGACATCTGCCAAATCCTGGTTAGAGAGATGTCTCCATGTAGGTGTA